TTCCTGGAAATAATATCACATTGACTAGTCTGAAGCTTAAAAGTTTTTTAAAATTTTGACCTATTTTTTTTGCCTCTGGGTTTTGGTCACTTTCCTATTCTTCATAAATTCCCAAAGATAGAGTCAACAATGAATCTATGTTTATATCAAAATTCTCTTAAGCATCTTGGAATAAAAAGTTGTGAATCTGGAGCTCAAGGACCAAACAAACTCAAAGCAGCTATTTTTATTTTCAAGGGGTAGATGAAATTAGAGCTCCATATTTACGTGAACTGTTTTAAAAACTATTTGCAATTTGAAAACCATTCTTCCTGAAGGTGACTTGAGTAAAATAACAGCAAACAATTCTGATCTCTCTCTGTTGTTACCTGAGCGCACACCGTTTTCACACTGAGTGAGGTGCAACACATCTGTGGCCGATTCATAGATTTAAAAGTCCTGTTCGTTACTAGACACTTATTTTAGAACTTCTAGCCTTCCCTGGGTTCTAGCCTCTGTGCAACTCTTAGGAGGTATTGTTACTTTTTTAGTCTTCATTTTTGTGATTTCCAGATTTAGTATAAGAATCTCCTGTTCAGCGTCCATGAGATGACTCAGCAGGTAAAGGCAATTGCTGCTCAGGCAAAGTCTGACAACTTGAGTTCAATCCCCAGGACTCTCATGGTGGAAGGAGAGAACCAACTTATCCTTGATCTCCACAGATGTGCCATGGCATGTGTTTGTGTGCATATGCATGTGCACACACAATAAATAAATAAATAAATTTAAATTAAAAACTGCAATTAAAAAAAGAATTCCCTGTGTACCTATATAGTCAAAGTCTAGTCAAGAATCCCCTATGTAGCCATTTTGGCTTTTGGTTTTCTTTTGAGGCAGAGTCAAGGTTGGCTTTGAACTTTTTATGTAGCTGAGGATGGCCTTGAACTTCTGATCTTCTTGCCTCTACATCCAGGTGTGGAGGTTACAGGTGTGTGTCACCACACTGTTTATGTAGTGCTAGAGATCAAGCCCAGGGTTTCCCCACCCTGTCCCCCTCAGCATGTCAGACAAACTGGCTTAGAGAAAGTGAGATCAACATGGTCAATCTGACAGGGAAAGTTGTCCTCACACATCCAGGGTTTTGTGTTCGCTAGGCGAATGCTCTGCTGGCTAAGCTATAGCCCCAGCCCAATTTGGCTTCCTTGGATGTCTCATAGAGATCATGCACAGCTGGTTTGAGAACCTTATACTCTCTCTAACACATAGTCTCCAGCCATAGAACTAAAATTACATTGTTTCCATAGAATCTCTATAAACAGCCACATTCAATGTCCAAATTAACAAAAATCCTGAGGTATTTCTGCTGAAAATAAGCTCGTAGTCTTTATGATGGAGCTTATGTTGAAAATGTTAGAAGAGGACTAGGCAGTTAAGCGTGATGGTGCATGTTTTTAATTCCAGTGCTTGGGAGGCAGAGGCAGGCAGATGTCTGTGGATTAAAGGGCAGCTTGGTTTACACAGCAAGTTCCAGGCCAGCCAGGGCTACACAGTAAGATCTTGTTGTTACAAATAAACAAACAAACAAACAAACACAGAGAGCTGGGTCATGGACACTTGTAACCTCAGAGCTGTCAGGGGCAGAGACAGGAGGATTACTGGGGCGTGCTGGCCACCAGCCTAGCTCGAGGTTCAGCAAGAGACCCTTCTCAAGGGAACAAAGTAGAGTGAGAGAGAAGGGAGCACACAGGAACACATGCCCACATACCCATGTGAACATACATCACATACACAAACACACAAGAATAATATTTCACCTGAACATTTACATTAAACATGGATTTCAGAGTGTGCTATAGCAACGAGTTGTAACCACCACTGCCTGATTGTTGCAGAATTAACACAGATTTTTGGTCAAATGTCACCTTTCCCTTCTTTCCCATTTCTTTCTTCTTCAAGAAAAGTTGGACATGTTCAGCTTTGAGATGGCAAATGTGGAAAAGCTGACACTAAAACCAAGCAGAGTAAAACTTTCAGTTGCCAGGAAAGCTCATCAGTTGGTACAGTAGGCTGCTGCTGCGGGAGGAAGCTGTGATCTCTGGAGACAGGGCAACACAGGACACCAGAGCCCTGGGGAGACCTACCCGGGGCTGTCCTGGGAAGGGTAGATGTTGTTGCAGCAGCTCTTAGGCAGATATGGACATTTTCACTGCCAGGCCTATAGGGCTATTGTGGAAATTTAGGGACAGGGCTAAAGCAAGTCGACGCAGGCTACAAACTTCAAAAAAGCAAGCATGGTCAAGATATAATACACCTTAAGAACAGTGCTGCATCAATAAAAGTGCTAGCTTTGTATTACTTTAACAAAACCTGTGAGGTAAGTAATTTATAGAGAGAAATGCTTAATTTGACTTACAGTTTTACAGGTCCAGTCCATGACTGACCTGGCTTTGTTGCTTTGGGCCTGTGATAAGGAACACATCATGGTGGCAACACGTCAGAGCATAACCACTCACTTACCAGCCAGGACGTGTGGTCTGTCTTTCAAAAATACCGCTTTGTACTGTGTTCACCCTTCTTGCAATGTAGTGAGGGGACACAGTGTCTACGTGATGATTTAAATGACACAGTATGAGTCTATTAAGAGTTCATCAAACTCAGACACTGGGTGCCATAAGAGGTGATCTGATAACCTAGATGACTACTGATGACCAATAGGCAGGTTGTCCACACAGCACGAATGATTCATGTCCTGGGCAAGATGGTGCTGAGATTTCATGCTAATTAGAATAACATAGAATCTTAACCTTATAACCTTATAACTGGAATTTTCCATTTGTTTTTGGACTGCAGTTGATGGAGGGTTACTGAAACCTTAGGAAGCAGGAGTGCAAAGAAAGGAAAGTGCTATACAGATCCAACACAGCATGCCGAGTCACAGGGTCTGCACAGATCCAACACGGCATGCCGAGTCACAGGGTCTGCACAGATCCAACACGGCATGCCGAGTCACAGGGTCTGCACAGATCCAACACGGCATGCCGAGTCACAGGGTCTGCACAGATCCAACACGGCATGCCGAGTCACAGGGTCTGCACAGATCCAACACGGCACGCCAAGTCACAGGGCCTATTTAAGGATGAAGTCAGCCCGGTGACCAGAACAGCTTCCACCCACATGCAATGCCTTGCTTCAGTAGAGGTCCCATTTTTGAGGGCAGTTTGTAACAAGGTAGAACCAGCTGGGCGCTGGTTAACAGGAGGATCCCAGCCCTACTGAAGCTTTTTGTGATACTGTACTGGGCCTGCCTTTCTATTTTTCCCATCTCCAGTTTTTTTTCAAGGTCCAGGAGGACTAGTATTGTGGGCATTTATAATGCCTAGGCTCAGATATGTGCCCATAGGACATGAAATATGCTGGGTGAATAGCTCTGAGCCTCAAAAGTGAAAGGTCATTCATATTGGGAGTTTGGCAGGGAGCCAAAACCCCACAAAGTATGTAAGTGCTGGGTGCTGTGCTTGGAGCTTCGAGGTGTATGGCTTTGCTCCCTTCGCTCCACTTAGAAACCGGGGAGGCAGAGAAGATATGTTCCAGAAATACTCTGAAAGACCAGCCTCCAGCTTCTAATCTCCCTCGTTAGCACCTAGGTTCCATTCCAGCCCCTATGTACTCAAAAAGACCTTTCCTCTTCTTTCGTGCCCTGAACTTCTGTCTTTTCCTTCTCAAAGGAGAAGCCCCTTGCCCTTAGGCCTTTATACAGTGAATAAAACGGTGGGGGTAGCTAGGCCAGAGACAGGAGGGTCACCATGAGTTTGAATGCATCCTGGTCTACACAGTGAGTCCTAGGCCAGGCAGGACTACACAGCTAGACCCTGCCCAAAACAACAAACAAACAAACAAATGGTCAGATACATTAAATCATAGTGGGATCTCCATCTGCAGAAATAGAATTTCAGATACCCCGAAGAGAAGAAAAATATTCTAAATCTGGGATCTTTCTAATCTCACATTAACGACATGTTCCCAACCTGCCCATCCTCAACCACGTCAGTGCGGCAACATCTGAGTTAGACAGGACTGTCTTCTCCATTCCCTTGCCTGAAACCAGTGAACAGGGTTCTGTTTGAAAACAGAGTTTTCCCCTAGCAGCTTGTTCCCCTAAAGAAATTGGGCTGGTGGAACAGCGCTGCCTGGTGTCAGACAGCCAAGCTTCCATTCCCTACAACACAACTTCCTAAGAGTGTCTCCTTGGGCAAGCCACTTAACCTCTCTGAGGATCAGCTTCCTAAGCCACTGATATTCTGTCCTCCACACTGTTGCATTTGGTTGTTTTAAAGAATAAGTGAGCTGCTGCCTGTGAACTGACCTTGAGAACTGTGGAACACAGCATTCATGCTAGTGGATGGCTGACTCCCTCGCCCTGCCTGGTGACTTTAACACATGACCTAAAAGCTTCCTTTACCGTTGGCAATAGGGAAGGAGGTGACTGCAGGCCAAAGCCAATTTTAGAAACCCACTATTTTGCAAAAGGAAGAGGCAATTTTCATCCCAACAGTGTTGCTGGCACAGGATGGGCACTGCCAGAACCAGTGTAGGGACAGACCAGCAGGTGTCAGCAGAGAACCAACTTTCCTTACTGTTGTGCTTGTCGGGGCAGGGAAAAGATGCCCAGTTGTCCTGTGCTGGGACAGGCTGGCAAGATTCTACAGTGGCTCCAGTTCTGGTGGGGAGTGCAGACTGTGAGCTCTGAGGTGGGAGCAGATCTTAGCTCTGTCTACAACCAAGATCCTTAACCCTTATAATGTTCCATCCCATGCCTAGTTTTGATCTGAGTTTGAGTCCTTTTCTGTCCCCAGAACCTAAGACCAGACATGCTTTCAGTGATGTATTATCTGCAGCTGAGCCCCACCTCCTGAAGTTTCCACCCCCCCAATATAGTGCCACCAGCTGGGGTCCAAGTGTAGGGGCATTACAGATTCAATCATAACAAAAGGTGATTAGGTCATGAGAGCTGTGTCCTTCCTTGCCTATGAATTAATTTAGTTATTGCAGGAACGAGTTTGTTACGAAAGAGTGAGTTTGGGTCCCCTTTCTGGTATGGGATGAGGTAACCTGAAAAACGTATGTCAATTCCCTTTTCATTATATTTCCTTAGAGAAAATACGGCTTTGCAATGACTGACCTCTCCCCCTCTGGAAGCCAGGTTTGTTTTGAATATGAAATTATTTTTTGGATCTACACTTCCTACTTTAACAACAAACTATTCAGATACAGTGATCCAGGAAACAACCAGCTTCCACAAGTAAATGGCCCTACGTGGGGACTGGAAAGTGAGGATAACAACTACCAAATGGTGGTCCAGGAACAGGGTGTCTAATCTCTGATGTGCTACAGCTATCCTCTCACCCTCTGCCCTTCTGGAGTGTACCTTCATTGCAAATGGATGTGCTTCGATGCAGGATGCAGTGGTGTGCAATGGATTCTATCCTAGCTTTTCTGGGGCCTGGGTATTATTTCTAGATGGATGTAATGACAACTTGGATAGGCACAGAAGCAGATCTTTGCAACAGGAGAAAATTCCAGCTGCCTGCCTAGACTGCTGCTCCCCATCTCTAAAACTTTAGTGGAGAGGGGTAGACATAAGTCTAAAGAGACACAAACAGGAAAGGAAATAGGGAACTCCCTGGGAAGAAAAGGCAAATGGAACCAGACCCGAAGGGCTGTGGAGCTTTGGATGCAGACCTGTGGGCTAAAATAAAGTTCGAGGGGAAGGTCATGGTCCTAGGAGAGGACCACCTGAGAGTCTGGCCCCCAGGAAATGGGGTGGGATGGGGTGGGGGAGGAAAAGAATAAATTAAATGGCTAAGGACTCCTGTGGTCCTGTTGCTCCTCCTACCTTGTAGCAAAGCCCAGTTCTCCTGAAAAACTCTAGAATAACTCTAAGTTGTTTAGGGAATGAGAGTTGTGGCCTACTTAGAATAATCCTAGCCCCCCCCCCCCAAGGAACAAAAATTCTGCATTCACCACTAAATGTGAGTGCTGGGTCCAGCAGTCAATAAATCTAACCTCCAGCTGGTGGAATGACAGGCGCCATACACACAGATTCCTACAGTGCTGCAAATCTCTCAAATGCTTGAATATCTGGGTAAGCTGTGTTTCCTCCTCCTTTTGACTGTGGATATTTATTTCTGTCCCTCATTTTTAAAAAGGGAGTAGGTGCCATGTCTTAAAGAATATTTAAAATTAACTGGAAGGGTTGAGATAGGAGCAGTCTATATTTTTAATTAAAAAAAATTATGTGTATGAGTGTATTGCCCGCATGTAAGTGCACAAGAGTAATGCAATGCCCACAGGGGCCAGAAGAGGGCGTTGAATCTCCTGGAACTGGAGTTATCTACCTTTGTTAGTGCCATGTGGCTGCTGGGATTCAAACCCAGGTTCTCTGCAAGAGCAGCCAGTGCTCTTAGCTGCTGAGCCATCTCTCCAGCCTCTTACATGCTATTTTACTCAGATTCTATAAGGAAAAAAAAAATCCCATAGCAGCTGGCCCGTCTAGAATCATCTTCCTGTAATATTGAAAGTCTAGCATCCTCTCTAACTGACCTTGTATGTTTCTGGGTTGAAAGCAAGAATCAGAGAAACCAAAGGATGACCAGACCTTTGCCTAAGTCATTGCATCAGCCCTTGACTCTGGTCTCTTTTTTTGAATCCTAAATCCTCATAAACTACATTGCCAAATTATAAAGGGGATCTACTCTGACCTTGACCGTTCCTAGTACAGTGCGTGTCTTCCCTGAAAAGGAGAGACTTTGAGACTAGTTGGTTAAGACAGAGATCACAAATATTCAGCCGCCCAGCCAGCACTGTAGCTTCCAAATTTTCGCCAACACTTTTAAGGTCGTGGCGGTGTAAACCAAGTTCGAGTTAATTCGGTTTAATCGGGGCCCTTTTCTTTCCCTACTAGGCCCCCAGGGGAGTCCGGGTCTTGGCCCCTAGGGCATCTCAGCCAGTCTCAACAGCTCTGAACCAGTTCATTTCGCCACAGCCCGGAGCCGCTCGGAAAGCAAAGATTAAAGGGGAAAGTCGCAGCTGTGTATTTATATTTTCATTGCTAGAAGGGAATTGATTTCCGTGCATTTATTTTGGTCGTTGTAATACACAAGAGCGGATTTGCGTCACCCGAGCAACTTGCCGGTGGAGATAAAGCTGCACAAATATCGAAAGGGGAAGTGCTAGGAGTCATTATAGAGTTTTTCTCCGGAAGAAATAAGGATTTCTGCAGTATCCTAAAACACTAGGACCGCTTCTATTTTGAGACCAATCTCGCAGGCACATCCGCTCATTTAGTCCAAGTTTGAGCCCATCAAGAAAACAGGAGATGACCCGCACTGCGGCGGGTCCTGGGCTTCCTACTGCCTTCTTGATGTTCAGGGGTTGGGAGATGAGGAGCGCCCTGTGCCGACTCAGAACAGGGCGAGGGGCCTGCCAGGCCGAAGACTGGGCCCGGGGCAAGAAAGATTCAAAGCCTCCCCCTGACCCCCCCCCCCTTTTTTAAGGCCTCGGAAGGCGCTGGTGCAATGTAGCCCCAGGCCGGGGAGAACCGGGCTTCGCATAGAAGCTGCAGCTCGCGATGCACCGGCGGGCGGTGCAAGGATGCAGCGGCCGAGCGGCTCGGCCTGCCTCGCCTTTGCGCGAGTGTCCAGCACTCCCGGCCTCGAAGCGCTGCACAGGAGGCTTGTGGGTGAAGCGCGGAACCAGTAGGTGTCCCGGAGTCTGCACCCCCACGTTCCGCTTAGCGGGTCTTCAACCCTGCAAAAGGTGGAAAGGGGTGGGGACTCTTATTTCTAGCCGAGGAGGTGAAGGCGCGCGCTCCGGGCGAAGCGTTGAAGCGCGTCTTTTAGACCTGGGACTTCGGTCTAGGCTGCCCGAGGTCTGAAAGTCTGCAGTGAAATTGGAATCGCAACCGAGTTATAAAGGACTCTAGAAAATAGAGGCGAAAGCTCCGGGCCGCCCAGGCATCCACTCGCTGGGCCAGTGACTTTCCCTGGATCTTGTGAAGTTAAAGAAACTGTTCTGTCACAGGCGGCACACCAGAACCCTTTGCCAATGCCTCGGGTGGCCTTGTATTTGTCACACATTTACCCGCAGCTAGCTAGACGAGACTTCCGCCCTCTCTTGGCCCAGGCACCCCTGCCCTCAACTAACCAAACCCTTCCATGCCCGGATATAGCACCTCTGTCACCAATGCCTCTGGAGTTTGGCAAGAAACCTTTCAGTGACAGGAGAGAGGAGAGAGGGGAGAGAGAAGAGAGAGGGGAGAGAGGGGAAAGAGGAAAGGGGGGAAGAAAGAGAGAGAGAGGAGAGAATTGTCTTGTTTCTGTGGTTTATCAGAACTGATTATCTATTGATTCTATTGATTGATTGCTATCCGGGAGAAAGTCAAACCCTTAAGATGCCAATGTCCACGACACAGGGCCGAGAGAAGTCACTCGATGTTAATTCAGTGAGTTCACTCCAAATGGGATGGTCAGTCAGTTAACTTGCATTTTCGAGATTAATTAGTGCCTTAGTGCTGAGGGGAAATAAAAATGCCTCCGCATCTCCTTTAGGAGTCGCTTAGTAGGACAATCGAAAACAAAAGACTTGGTGGTTTCATTATAGTCGTTATTTTATTTTCTTCCTGAAAATGTGCAAGAACAGCTCATCTGGGTGGCCTGTGGTTTGTTTGGGAGCGGGGTGGGGAAATCCATTCTGACTATAATTTAAAAGAGAACGAATTCTTAAAATAGAGATGTTAATGCGGCAGAAAACCCCCCATGACACCCACCTTGAGTTTTAAAGATCCTGAGCAAGAATGGAAGGCACTGGCCACCACTGACCAGGCCAAAGGGGCCGGTCACCTAATTGAAAGCAGTATTTAACCTTAAGGCAGTCGGCTCGCGCTTGCAAAACAACGGACCCCACGTGACCTGGGGACGTGGTGGCTAGAGAGAGCGGGTGGCATTTCCTACAAGGTGTGGTGGAGGGGACGCGCGTGCCACTCTCCGGGGCTGAGCCGGGGAGGGGGGGGTCGGGGCAAAACTTTGGCTGCGTCCAATGGAGACGTTCGGAGCCATCCATCTTATTTTGTTTGAAAAGTCACTCGTACAAGTGGCCACCAGTGTGACAGCTCCGAATAAAACTAATTGGCAGCCGCCCCTCCCTCCGGCTTCCCGGAGGATCCCAGGGAAGCCAATAGAGTGCAGACCTGGGTTGAGAACTCTGGGTCGCAGGATCCGGGTGGGGACTGGGGAAAGATTGGAGCCTTCGTGGAGATAAAAGGCAGAGCGAAGGAAAATCTGAAAACTGGGAGAAGACAGCGCGCTCAGCCCCGGGGGAGGGAGGGTGTCTCTGGGCCGCGGTGGAGCCGGGGAGCCCCAGCTCTGCCCATCCCCCCAGCTCCTGCGACCACCTGCCCGAAGCCGGGCGGTGGTCCCCAGCTGCGGGAGTTAGGGGACAGCCACAGGCCCCAGGAGCCACCGCGCGGCCCCTACGCAGCGCAGGGAAGCACAGTACTCAGCTCGGCCCACGCGGCTACAAAAAACACTTTGGCGTGGCCAGGGCGTGGCCAAGATGGTGCGCCACGCCCCCTCTTTCCCAATTCCCCTCCACTCCCGGGTCCCATTGGTCACTTCGATGTCCAATGAGCGCATGGATCAAGGTCCTACTCCCGTCTGACTCGAAAGCTCCTGCCAAAACTTTGGGAGTTTTTAGAGAGGAGTTTTTTTGTTTTGTTGTTTTTTTTTTGTTGTTGTTGTTTTTCTTAATACTTTTTTTTTTAAACTAACGGGTCATTATTGTTGTTTTAAATTTAGCTCTTCGGGCTTAGCTGTTTGGGTTTTTCTTTCGGTGTCGGGCCTCGGTCTCCCCGGCGTCCCCGGAGTATCTGAGCCGCTGCTGAGCCCCTCGCTCGCCCCCATCCCGCGGGCTGCGCGGCCGCCGCGTCGCCTCGCCAGCCAGGCCCGGGTCCGGGCGGTGACCGTCGCCTCCGCCCTCGGTGGCCTTGGGGCGCTCCGGCCCGCCCTCTGGCCAGTCCGGGTGGAGAAGCGAAAGCGGATCTTCCCCGGCTGGGCCGCCTCTCCCAGCGACCCACCCACTCACCCAGTCCCGCCGGCGGCTCAGCCCGCCAGGATGTTCGCCGCCGGGCTGGCTCCGTTCTACGCGTCCAACTTCAGTCTCTGGTCGGCCGCCTACTGCTCCTCCGCGGGTCCCGGCGGCTGCTCTTTCCCCTTGGACCCCGCGGCGATCAAGAAACCGTCCTTCTGCATCGCCGACATCCTGCACGCCGGCGTAGGGGAGCCGGGGGCGGCTGCCGAGGGACTGGTGGGGGCCTCGGCCGCCGCCCTCACCGCGCACTTGGGCTCGGTTCACCCGCACGCTTCCTACCAAGCCGCCGCCAGATCCCCGCTCCGTCCCACCCCGGTGGTGGCGCCCACGGAAGTCCCAGCCGGCTTCCCGCAGCGCCTGTCTCCGCTCTCGGCCGCCTACCACCACCATCACCCACCGCAGCAACAGCCGCCACCGACGCCGCAGCAGCCGCAAGCCCAGCAGCCTCCACCCCGGCCCGGATCCCTGCAGCCCTCGGCTTCAGGGACGCGGGTGGTCCCCCACCACAGCGGCCCCACCCCGACCCCCTCCAGCAAGGACCTCAAATTTGGAATTGACCGCATTTTGTCTGCAGAATTTGATCCCAAAGTCAAGGAAGGCAATACGCTGAGAGGTAGGTCTTGAGTGGGAGGCCCCAGGCCTCTATAAAGACTGGACCCTGACCACTCCCTGGACCCCACGTCGGTTTGGGGTGCTTTCGAATGCTTTTACATTTAATAGGTAAAAACGAAGGAGAGGAAAAATAATTGTAAGAAAACTACAAAACGTTAAGTCTAAAATTCACCTGCGCTACGTAAAAATTGAATTTCGAGATGCTTTAAAAACAAGAGACAGTGAAATCATTATTTATAAGCTGGTGTAAATTTTTGCAAAAGTAGATATAGTCTATCTTTTGAATGATATATCTGGAGAAAGAACTTTTCTGACAAGGAAAGTCCTACCTGGGAACACTTTCCTTTGCACTGATATGATTTCCAGTAAAATTTCCTGGGGATTATGTTAAACAAACAAAAAACTGCCAGTCTTATCCCCCCCCCGAGGGGAGAAGGCAAGGTACAGGGCATAGGGGAGGGGGAAATTGGGGTCTGTGGAATTCCTAGAAGCCATCTGAAAGTGGCATCCTTAGGACCATTTTTATGAAAAGCCCTTCCTTTCTGAATTGTGGACTGGCCATGGTTGATACACACAGAAACAGTTCTGGGCAGTTGGGAAAGAGGTTTCAGAGGACAAGGGTCTTTTTTGACTCCACTGCAGCAAAAATCAGATCCCGAGCTAGGAAAAGGGAGGAACGAATCTGTCCAGAGGGCATGTGTGAGTTTGCTCAAGTTATAATCAGCTATTTCTCCCTTTCCCCAGATCTCACATCTTTGTTAACTGGTGGGCGCCCCACCGGGGTGCACCTCCCAGGCCTGCAGCCCTCCGCAGGCCAGTTCTTTGCCTCTCTAGATCCCATTAACGAGGCATCTGCCATCCTCAGTCCCTTGAGTTCCAACCCGAGAAATTCAGTCCAGCATCAATTCCAAGACACGTTTCCAGGTAAGAAAAACCTCCTGAGATTCGGCCACTGACCCTTAGAAATCTCAGGACTAATGCCCTAAGCCGCAGCTGTGTCACAATCCCATAGTTGGGGCAGGAGATTCTGAAGGCCTGTGAGAGAAACCGAAAGATTTTCCTCTCTCTCTCTTTCTCTCTCTCTCTCTCTCTCTCTCTCTCTCTCTCTCTCTGTGTGTATACAGTTGGGGAAAGCCCCAGGGAGCCAAGATAGTGTGTGCTTGGGGCCTGGTGGGATGAGTCAAGGTTGGGTCCCTAGTTTTTTCGCCCAGACAGGGTGGTTTGAAAATGCAACATTCAAAGGTGAAATCTATAAACCACACACACACACACACACACACACACACACACACACACACACATTTTGGAATAACCTTACTTTTGCTTGGTTAGGTATGTCTTCTCTATAGGCACATGCGGGAGTAGGGAGTAATGCAAACACAGTGGAATGTAGGGCTGTCATCCACATGTCATTCAGGCCCCAGGGACACTTCTGTCTGTTTTAGACAGACAGCCTGCTTGGTGTTCGCTTTATGTATTTCTCTGTATATGAATCCATGGAGCTCCCAGCTAGAGGGCTTTAGGCCCAAAGCTCTCTTACCAAAAGCTGTAAAATCCCTCCTTAGGCTTTCTGAATAGGGGCAAAGGAGACTGTGAACTCAAAACACTTTTAAGTATCTGAACGAACCAGAAGCTTGCAGCCCACAGCCTGAACACTAATCTGGCCCTCTCTTCCCACCGCTGGGCAGGTCCCTACGCTGTACTCACTAAGGACACTATGCCTCAGACTTACAAGAGGAAGCGCTCCTGGTCCCGTGCGGTCTTTTCCAACCTACAGAGGAAAGGCCTGGAGAAAAGGTTTGAGATACAGAAGTACGTGACCAAGCCAGACCGAAAGCAGCTGGCAGCGATGCTGGGCCTCACCGATGCACAGGTAAACAGGCTGACACCAGGCCTCCATCCTCCAGCCGGCTGCAAACAGGCCTGCGCAGTATGGACCCACTCCTGAGATCCAAACACAAGGGCTTGAATTTCAGGAGGCTTTGTGGATGCTGCAAGGAGCCAGAGGAGAGGAGGGTGGGGGTAGAGATGAACAAGAGGGACTGGAGAGACTAGTCCAGTCTTGAAGATGTATGTCAACAAGCAGTTCGTGTTTATTTTGGCCAACAGGCCAGAGAGCCACGGAGAAAGCAAATAGGCCGCCACAGATGATAATTACGCACTCCACTGGAGTGCACTTTGCTGTAGGAGGCAGTTTATTTCAGAAGAGATAAAACCCTAAGTCAAGAGATTGTTGTTGCCCCCCGCCCCGACTGCCCTCCCCACTGGATTGTGAAATCCCAGTTGTGAGGAAGTGAAAATATAATTTCAAACGGAATTACTTAGCTTTACTTAAGGCAAGGAGTTGGCCTAGAGTGGGCACAGTACATCTTTCTGAGGATTCTGAAGAAAGTTTCTGTTGGGGGTGAAGTTGAGTGGTAGAAAGGAAAAAATATTTTCTTAGAATGCCAGGAGCATTTTTCTCCAGACTGCCTAGTTGAACTTTTAAGACGACTGCGGGGGCGGGGGGGGGGGGCTGATGTGCTGGAACTATTTTTTTTCTAGAGTTCCCCCCACCCCCATTTTTCCTTCTTTTGCGATTCTACTTGTCAGTCATCTTGTGTATCCTCCTCCCCTACCGGTGACTCTGGCTGCTTCAGTGCTGACGGTCTCCAACAGGCAGAGCAGAAGCCAAGGCAGACTGCCTTTCTGGTAGCTGCCTGGTCCCCAACTTCTGTGTCTGTGTCTTTCTTTTCTCCGTTACTCAACTCTCCTTCTCAGCACACACAGACACACTGGAGAGCCTGGCCATTTTCTACCAGCTGTGGATGTTATTTTTAAAAGGGAAGCTGGAACTTGTGTGAACGTGTTGGGCAACCCCCTCAGGGATCACAGATATTTATATAGATTTTCTGCTCCATCTCTACCCTATTCCTCCACTTTCCCCACTTTTAATTCCAGCATTTTCTGAGCTCCCAGGAGAATAAGTTTATCTCTCACAGGGGTAGGGTCTTTATCAACTCTGGAGTAAAAAATTGCCAAGGAAATGGTTTTACTGAAGCTAGGCAGTTTCCCCATTCCACTGGGATTAACTGTGAACCTCTCCTCTCATTCCTTTCTTCCTTGCGTCCCTCCCTAAAAGGAATAGGATGGTGGTGCAGGCTTGTAACTTTAGTACTCTGGAGGCAGAGGCGGGAGGACCCCAAGCTCAAGGCCAACCTAGGTTACAAAGAAATCTTGTCTCAAAAAGTCAAAAGGGGTAGGCCGATAGATTCTACAGTGAATTGCTTTGGGTAGTGGTTGGACAGGAACAGGCTAGTCGAAGGGGGATTCTTAATACTGGCTCACTCAAGTCTTTTAAGTTGTGTGCACAGTCTTGGATATATGTGCATTTTCTGCCTCGGGATTCCATAACTTTCACCAGATTCTTACAAGAGTCCTGACTTGGTTGAGATTAAGAAGCATCAATTAGGGGAGCTTAAGTAGGTTAAAGGGTGAGATGCAGGAATCTGCCCTTCCCATTCGCAGTCACGCCATTTCAGGCCCGAGGTCCTCTGGAAGGCCGTATTTTGAGAATGGTCTCTAGTGGGTCGGGCCCGGTTTCATCCTAGATTGCTTCAGGGTCTTTATGCTTAGTGCAACGTCTGGTTTTGCGATTGGTCAACCTGCCTTAGGGCCGACTCTGGAGTCAGATGCAGCGAGCTCTGATCTAGCTCGGCTGGTTTCTTCAACAGGTGAAAGTGTGGTTCCAGAATAGGCGGATGAAGTGGAGGCACTCCAAGGAGGCCCAGGCGCAGAAGGACAAGGAGGCGGGTGAAAAGCCTCCGGGTGGAGCTCCGGCTGAGGCTGAAGGAGAGCCGGAGGAGAGGAGCCCAAGCCGCTCGGAGGGCGAGGCGGAGACCGAGAGCAGCGACTCCGAGTCCCTGGACATGGCCCCCAGCGACTCGGAGCGGACTGACCGGCTCGAGCGATCTCTGCACCAAACCACGGTCATCAAGGTCTCGGCCTCCGGCGCCCTCATCCCGGCCAGCAGCGGGGCGAGTGGCGCGGGCAGCGGCGGCGGCTTCAGCTTCGGCAGCGTGGGGAGCAGCACCGCCGGCAGCCTTGGCAACAGCTGCTCGGAGATGCCCGCGGCGTCCCAGGCTTCGGTCACCAGCAACCCCCAAAGCCCCGAGACCGCCCAAGCCCCGCTTGGAGGCTTGTAGACTGGACCGAGGGGCTGGAAGCGCTGCGTGCAGTTTTCCCAACGCCACTGGATTTTGTGCCTACTTTATGTTGGTGGCCCCGGCCGGTCGGAGACGCAGGTGGTAGCCTCCTCCCGGTTCACCCCACTCCTGTTGCTGCCTGAGGCCCACGTCGCCCAGAATAAAAGGGAGTTTCTGGGGCCTCAACAAAGACTACCGTGCTAAATCGAACACTTCTTTCCGCCCCAAGCAGCTCACACTGAAGTGTTTGATTGAACTGTTCATCTGGGCATCAGGGGTGTAAGAACGTGGTGCACTTCGAAAGCCCTAAACGTGTAAATAAAATGTTTACTGTGGTTTGTAAAGGGCCTTTGGCCTGCTGGGGCGTGGAGGTAGTTACTAAGGCCCAAGGATCTCCGACCGGGACCTAAGCCTTGAAACACTGCAGAAGGCAAAGGCACCTGGGGGGTGGGGGTGGGGGGAGCAACCTCCGAGCCACCTTACAGCAGAGATCCGGCTATGGTCTTAGAGGTTTCATCCCTTGTTGAAGTCCCTGGAAAGAGCCACCTACCTATTCTGTGCTCCAAGCAGCCAGCCTATGCCCATGGCTTTCCCATACAAAGTCGGGATGCAGTGACCACACAGGTCCGCTTTTTGGTGACTCCAGAGAGCTCAGAGTTAGAGTGAAGTCAGTGATGGTGCCAGGTAGAGTCCAAACAGGCACAGTGGTGCTTCTGCCTAGCTTCTAGACTAGCCTGGTCCCGAGGACTGTTCTGTGCTAACTGCCCCTTGCTCAGGGATGGGGTTCCAGTACCCAAAGATCCGAGGAAAGGGCAGAAATGTCACAATAATTAGGAGCTGGAGGCTGGGTCTTCAGCGTGCCAGGGTCTTGGTTTTAAAGATGCTAATGTGATGGTACAGTAATGAGGCAACTTGTTGAATTTCAGGCAGAGGCAAAGCCCAAATGCAAGGTTGCACCTCTTGGTCCATATTTGTCTGGGGATGAATGCAACAAACTACCTACTCCTCCCCACTACTCACATAAAATCTTCCTTCGAAGTTCTCTCACTGGAGGCTCCTGAATGAGCTCTCCCAACGACAGTCCTTAGGGGAGTTAGGGTCAGGTTCCCCACTCCATTGAGGCTGGACATTTTGACACTGCTGCTAGGATGGACTCTAGAAGGCTTTTCTTTTCTTTTTAAATGGAAAACCTCTTTCTAAGACCCATGTTTCTCTTCAATCCTTTCCTTGAAATTAAGTAAAAAGTATTAAGATGGTTAAAAAAAATTTCTTTGGGGGACATTTTGAAACAGCAGCCAAAAGAGATGTCCCCAACAATTTTTGGCACCCAGTGTTGCCATGTCTCACAAATACAGCATCAAATTCCTGGAAATTTCATGTTTCACAAATACAGCATCCGATTCCAGGTTGCTCCTGCCCAAGCAGAGGAGGGAAATGCTGAGGTCAGAGATTTTATGAGACACTCCCGTTTCCAGGTGGATAGTAGAAGGTTCTGGGCTACACCTCAGTGTTGCTTACCCTCTTCACTTTGACTAGCTCTTTGAAGTTCAATCCAGGATCCTTGCTCTGGACCTCTGGTTCAGGGTTGGAGTAGAGCTACAGATTTAGCTTTTCCTTCCTGGGCTAAGCCAGATGCTTAATCAAGTCCCAGAGATCTGCAAAGCTGACTGTTCCCTGCCCCAGCCAAACTGGTAAGCCCCATCAAGAAGTGGAGTCTCTCTTAGAAAGAGCATAGTTGAAAGGGGTAGAGGGCTGTGACCAGGATTGTCTGAGTGGGAAGAGTGAATTAAGGTAGAGTGCCTCAGAAGGGACGCCAACTTAAATGGGAATGTGAGCTAGCTATTATCCCTAATTGCTCCGCAAGAGTTTGGGGTCCACAGCAGCCCTAGGCTTCAGGTGGGGCTGGAGCAGTTCTTCAAGTCTTCCGTTGGACTCTGCTTCTCAATCTGTGGTATTCCCTGTGTACCTCAATTTTTCAGTCATTACCTAGATTTCTTTCCTCTTACTCCATAAAGAATGAAAATGTGAAATCTAAGCACCCCAAAGACATTGAATTTGGAAGCACTTATGCTCGATTGTCGCATTAAAAACAGAGGAGTGGGGGCATACATCTACCTAGTCAGAGCCTGTCTGAGGAAAGGCTGGGAGGAGTTGGTGCTGTGTGCAAAGTGCAGTGTCCTGTATCTCACAGCCACCCCTTTCACCTTCTAACCTCTCGAAGGCATTAATTTTTTCCTCATTTGCTTCTGGACTTAGTAATTAAAGGAAACCATTGTGTGTGGGGGTGTGTGATTTCAAGTAGAATTTTAGCCTTCTTTCGGAAAGGTTGGGGACCCGCGGGAGCTGGGGATGAAATTAACCAGGAGGCGGGCACATAAAGGGTTATTGTGGAAATCAGATCCTCCTCTAGGGTCACTGGAGACACTCTAGTCTCCACCGGCCTCACCCCCTAGTTCCTAACCATATATCTTGTGAGACTTTTGGAGGACTTTATCCCGGCGAGTGGAGTTATTCCACGTTTCATCAGCAGCCGTAATCGCACGTGAATTTAATTTATTTAGAAAAAGGGCAGTTGCGGAGAAGGCGTCTGGGCAGGCCGGGCTGCAGGGACAAAAGCCTGCATTTCGGGAGCATGCCTTTGACCTGGAGGTTCCTTGCTGGGCTGCGACTACTGGGATCTTTCTGGAAGCACTCGATCCTATCTTAGCGCAGGAAAGAAGGCTAAGCTTGTGCATTCTGCAGACACCAGACCTCTGGGCGGGTTGGAGCCTGGAGGAGGTCGGTGTGAGCCAGCCCGGGAGAATCGCAGAGCCCAGCAGAGCCCAGCGGAGCCCAGCGGAGCCAGCCCAGCCCCGAGACCCTCTAACCGGGCGCTTTCCTCCCGAGCAGTACTCTTTGTACAGAGCGGGGCTTTTCTTTGCCCCTTGCAGGAGTCCCCGCAGTGCGGAACCTTCTGAACGAGGAAATTAGGGTCTCCCAAAACGCAGGTAGGGATGTCGACTTGCGTGGATTTCGCTAAGCAGAGGGAGTAGGGATCTGACACACTGCGTTGATCCACACAGACAATCGGAGACACAGAAATGCAGATTCACATAGAAGTATTGGAGACAGGTGCTCTACAGTCGATTTAACATTTTTGTGGGTAGGAACACACAAAGTTCCGTTTTCCATATGACAAAAGAACGTGATGAACCTCACACCGCTTTATTCTGCCTCTGCTGGTGGGTCGCTTTTCTCCGTAAAATTTATGGAGCACGGCATTCCACAGACCATATCCCTCAAAGCCAGGTCTGCTTCCCTCAGCATTTGCTTGCCTAGGCAGAAAGTGGCAAGGACCTGGATACTAGGAGTGTGTAACCCTGGCTTCTGGGTCCCACTGGGGCCAGAGCAACATCAAAGCCAGGTCTTGTCTCCAAGGAAGACTTGTATCACCCAAGGCAATCACTCAGGGTTTTCCCTCACTTTTACCCTCTCTAAGGATTGAGGGAAGCAGTCGCTTAGGCTCCAGCCTTCACGAATCCTTCTGATTCCCTCCAAACCTCAGAGGGGACCAAAAAGAAACCCCAGGAACTCTGGGATCTCTTCTCTGGCTGTTGTCCCTATCCAGACTCTGGAAGGGATGGTGACAGAGCCAGACTACTCCACTGGAATGGGCAGAGTAAGGTTGTTGGTGCCATGCGGGGGCCCAGGGGTCAAAGTTACCAGAGGAGGGCAAGCCCTAAGAGGCAAGGCAGGAATTTAGGTCTGCAGCGGGGATTTTCCAGGGTGCCTTAGACTTGAAGGTCACTCTGTGGAGCTTTAGCCTGTTTCAGGATGCAATGTCCTTCTCTCCAAGCTGTGCCATCTTTAAGCAGACTTGAGATTGGTGGGGTGGGCCTGGGGCAGCAAAGGGTGAAGAAAGGCAAGAGGCTAAGGTAGACAGACCCTCCTTCCATTTGTGGGCATCAAGGTTCCCTTTGGTCTTTTTGAGACAGGTTCTCCCTGTAGCCTTAGCTGTCCTGGAGCTCGATATTTAGATCAGGCTGGCCTCAAACTCAGAGATCTGTCTGCCTCTGCCTCCTGAATGCTGGGATTAAAGGTGTGTGCCACCATACCGGGCATCCTCCACCCACCTTTTTTAAAGAGGAAAAATGGGCCAAGAAAGTACTGTGAGCTCAGTCCTTCTGATACAATATTGTGACACTACATTGGAGATGGCCCAGGGGACCCTAAACATGCAAGGGACATTGCCTTCCCCTTCTTTAGCTTCTGGGGAGTGGAGTGGGGGAGATACAGCACACACTCCATGGTGTTACTGAAGAAGCAGTTGCTGGGTTCTAGGAGCTTTAACTGGAGGGGTTGGCAGAGTAGAGAACAACTTGGATTTAGATCTTATTCACAGCATCATTTTTAATATCTTAGTGATATTGTTTAGGGTCCCCAGGACAAATGGAGGTTCTTCTACAAGTCATATCCTTCCCATAGCTGCTCTTGGGGAGTCCAGCTTGCTTACCCAGAGTAGGGGGTGTGCTTGGCAAGATACCCTAGGGATTGGGTTCTAACAGAACTGCAGACTCCAGTGGAACCCTGCCCTCCCTCTACAGCCAAGCTCAGGATTGCTGGTCCATGGGTCTCTTGGCTGCCCCACTCTCCATTATTTTAGAAAACAAGGCTAGATGCTGCCTTATGTATGATTGCCTCTGATGCCCTCGTACTAGGGATGGGCAGTTGTCACTGACAGAAATCAAGCCATCTGCTCAAGGTAATGGGAGAGTAAGTGCCAGGACTAGGATGGATCCTGGGGTCAGTGTCTTCTGAAGTGTGCAGGACTATGAAGGCTTCTTTCTGATAGGCCTGACCAATGGGATTCTGACTAGGATGCTCACAGCTTAAAAGGTTTTTACAAAGGTGTGTGAAAAGTTCTGAACCACAGCTTTGGGGACACTGGGCTCCTCTTTTCTGCTTGGTAGCCCCTGAGAGCTGTCTGTCTTTCTAGGGGTGGCAGGTCTGGGCCTCTGTTAGTTTGCTAGCAGTGTCCCCAGCCACACCAGAGAAGGTGACCATAATATCTGTGGTGTTTTGGGTTTTGATTGGTCATCTCTGCTACTTGGAATTCTGGGCAGGAAGTGGAATTGGAAGAGCAATGGCCCTTGGGGGTACCAAATGCACTGGTATTTCTCTCTCTCTCTCTCTCTCTCTCTCTCTCTCTCTCTCTCCCTCCCTAGCTCTAGCTCTCCCTCTGTTCCTCCTTCCCTCCCTTCCCTGTGTCCTCCCTCCCTAGCCTTAAATTCAGCTCCAGCAGCATCAGATATCAAGCAACACCCTCTGGTGTAGTCAATGGCTGAGGGTGATGCTTGGT